TATATATATGTATATATATATGTACGTATATGTATATGTATGTGTATATGTATATTTATATATATATGCATATGTTTATGCAATTGTATATGTAAATGTACCTGTATAGGTATGTACGTATGCATGTATGTAACGTACGGTAATATAATTCATTGCATTATAATGTAATATGTTGCAATGAACTGTATGCATGTATGTGTGTATACATGCATGCACGTATGCGTGTATATATGTATACGCATGCAGGTATGTATGCATGCATGCATGTATGTATGCATGTATGCATGTATGCATGCATGCATGCATGTATGCATGTATGCTTGCATGCATGTCTGTATGTACGTGAGTATGTATGTATGCATGCATGGATGTGTATGTATGTATGTATGTATGTATGTAGGTAGGTAGGTAGGTAGGTAGGTAGGTAGGTATGTAGGTAGGTAGGTATGTATGTAATGTAGGTGTGTTTATATGTGTGTTTGTATGTATGTTTGTATGCATGTGTACATGCATGCATGCATGCATGCATGTCTGAACATATATTTGTATGTATGTACGCATGTATATATATATATATATATATATATATATATATGGATGACTTCTCGTTTTTGTTGTGTTGTTTTTATTCTGCTTCTTCGCTACGACGAACTATCAGGGGCGACCCCAGACACCTCCAACCCACTGAGAAAATCAGGGCGGAGTTGTTTCGTCGTTTCAGGGGCCGTCAAGAAACGATCCGGGAGGACACACCGGCCCATGGGGACAGGGTCGGGATTTGCGGGGGCCCCGCCCTGAAGCAATCGCGACGTCGGAGGTCTGCGCCCACCCCGCGGGGCCGATTCCCGCCTCCCCGGGGGACCCTCTGGCGCACGCCCTGGGAGGCCTCCTCGATCCCCTCTCGCCCCTCGCCCCCCCTCCTCGATCCAGCACCGCCCAGACACCTGCGTTCTCGATCCTCCCTCGCCCCTCCTCCCCGGTTGGCCTCTCCCTGGGCCTCCCAGGAGCTGCCAGGGGCCTCCGAGGCCTGCACGGGGAACCTCCTGGGGGAACCTCCGAGAGGCCCCGGGCAGCCAGGGACACCCCTGCGCGCCTGGGGGCCGCGCTCGGTGCCTCTGCCTTCCCGGCGAGGCCGAGGGGGGGGCGTTTGTCGTGGCCCCGAGCCCTGGGCCCGGGAGGGGCGCCCGCTGGGGGGGACCTTGAGACCCAGACATGATCGCGCCGTTGAAAAAATCTGGACGGGAGGTTTTTGGCCAGTTTCGGCCTCGGGGGGCCCTCGCCGGGCCTCGGGACCGTCAAAAACGACTCAGGATGAGAAACCGGCCCCGGGGAAAGGGTGTGGACTTCCTGGGACGCCGCCCTGAAAGGGCCAGCGTGCAGGATTCCGCAACGCCCGACGGACCCGGGCTTGCATTGACCTGGGTCGGTGCGTCCTCGACGTTGGGATCGGTGCTAGCGTGCAGTTGGCGTCCTCCCGTCAGCGGCAGGGCCGCATCGGCTACGTATTCTAGGGCTCCTAGATGTGGTCCGAGCAGATGGGGTCGGAGGATCGCGCCGCCTCGCCGATGCCTCGGCGATGCGGCTCGATGTGGCGCCCGATTTTCTCCGCGCCGACGGCGCCGATGCATCGGCGACGTCGCTGATGCATCTAGTCACTGACGTCCTTAGCTTGGGCGGCGCTTGGCCCTGCAGGCTGGCCGGCGCGGACAGTTGGCCCTGCAGTCTGGCTGGATGCCGCAAGGTGGGAGCTTGGCCCTGCGGGCGGGCCGGCGGCCGATGGTGCCACAAGGAGCGATCTTGAGTGAGCGAAAATGCTCCGCGGCAGTGCTCCCCCACCGTTCTCGAATGAATATGTAGCCGCCTCCTGCTCCTCCTCCTCCTCGTCCTCCTCCTCCTCCTCCTCCTCCTCCTCCTCCTCACAGAGGTTTTTGTTGTCGAGATTTCTATGCTTTGAGGGCCGCTTTTGGGTCTCTGGGCTGTCAGAACACGGCCCGTGGCGAGGCGCCCGTCCCCGGGAAGGGGTCGAGAGGTCCCCGGGAGCCCGGCATACGGTGAGGGCACTGGGCGCAGAACGGTCTTCGGGGCGGGGATTCACGGCGTGACCACCGCCTGGAGGATCAGTTTTCGCGGACCTCCACTGGGCGGTGGGCATGGATATATTTTGGCCCCCGGGGGCCAGCATACACGATCCCGGGCGCCGGGCCCACTGGCCCTCCCCCCCAGATGGGATGGGTATCAGGGTCCCTCGGGCCCCCCCCTCTCTCTCCTGGTGGGATGGGGGGGGGGGACGACCACGACGACGACGACGACGACGACGACGACGACGACGACGACGACGACGACGACGACGACGACGACGACGACGACGACGACGACGACGACGGCGACGGCGATGACGATGACGACGAGTGAGGGTGGGTCTGTGTGTGTGAGTGATCTGTGTGTGTGTGTGTGTGTGTGTGTGTGTGTGTGTGTGTGTGTGTGAGTGATCCGTGTGTGTGTGTGTGTGAGTGCGTCGTAGTGCAGAAAGTCTGAGTAGGAGTGGGTCTGAGTGTGAGTGAGTCTGAGTGTGAGCGAGTCTGAGTGGCACTGAGACTGTACATGAATAGGTGTAAGTATGGGTAAGTATGGGAATGAGTGAATTTGCGTGTGAGTAAGTCTGAGTCTGATTGGGTCATGGTGAGAGTGAGCTGTGTGTGATGGTAACGTAACGGAGGGGCGAGATGAGGATGAGAGGAGAACAAGAGAAGGCGGAGGCGTCAAAGTGGCTGCTCTGGACATCCCCACAATGTGAGCGCGACCGGGTCCGTGAGAGCACCCTGGCGGCTCCCCCATAGAAGTGCTCAAGCCCGCGCCCTGCTTGAGACATCCTCACGACCTGCTCTGAAGGCAGAGGAGGCTGGGTAGCCAGACGTGCAAACCGCTCGAGGCATCCCCGCACTCTCTGAGCGCGACCGGGCCCGTGAGCACACTCTGGCTGCCCCCCCCCTGGGAGTGCTGGAGCCAGTGCCTCGCTCGAGACATCCTCACAGCCTGCGCCGGCGGCAGGGGGACGCAGGGGCACCCCGAGCAGGCAAGTCGCTCGAGGCACATCCCCGCAGGCCGCGCGCAAAGGGGCCCGGGCGAGCACCCCGGCGGCTCCCCCCTCGGGAGTGCCGAAGCCAGCGCCGCGCTCGAGGCATCCTCGCAGTCGGCTCTGAAGCATCCTCGCTCGAGACATCCTCGAGACACCGAGTGCTGGGGCACCCAAACGCGCAAGCCGCTCGGGACACCTCTCCACAAGATGGGCGCGCACGGGCCCCGAGAACGCCACGTCGGCTCTGCCCGTGGGAGTGCTGACGTCCGCGCCTCGCCCGAGGCAGCCTGGCAGCCGGCTCTGAACACAGAGGGTGTCGGGCACCCGACCGCGCAAGCCGCTCGAGGTGTCCACGCGCGGAGCGCGAAGGGGCCCGTGAGAGCACCCTGGAGGCTCCCCCGCTCGAGAGTGCTGGAGCCAGCGCCTCGCTCGAGTCATCCTCACAGCCTGCTCGGCAACCCGAACATGTGGGGCACCCAAGCAGGCAAGCCGCCCGAGGCATCCCCACAGTCTTCGGCCCGAGTCTGAGTGAAGAAGGGCGGGTCGGAGTACGATTGAGTCTGAGTGTGAGCGAGTCTGAGGAGCAGCGAGACTGTGTATGAGTAGGTCTAGGTATGGGTGAGTCTTAGCGTGAGGGAGCCTGAGTGCGAGTGAGTCTGAGTACAGATGAGTCTGCGTGTGAATGAGTCAGAGTATGAGCGAGTCTGAGTACGAATGAGTTTGAGTATGAGTGAGCCTGAGTGGGGAAGAGGAGGAGGAGGAGGAGGAGGAGGAGGGGAGGAGGAGGAGGAGGCGGAGGAGGAGGAGGGAGGAGGAGGAGGAGGAGGAGGGAGGAGAAGGAGGCCAATGAGCCCATCTCGGGATATGGGAGCAACACGGGAGGGGAGAGGGACGGGCTTTGCAGTGGGAGGCTTATAGAAAAAGACGGGTTCGCACTGCTGTGTGTGTGTGTGTGTGTGCTGGAAGCGATCCCGCGCGCTCGGGCTGAGCTTCCTAGCATGCTGGCAGAACCGCTGGCCATAGGATGGTCGTCGAACGCCTTCTGGCACACTTGGAAACAACCTTGGCAACATCTTTCTCCTCCTCCTTCCCGCTCCTCTCCTCCTCCTCCTCCTCCTCCTCCCCTCCTCCTCCCCACTCCTCCTCTCCTCTCCTCCTCCTCCTCCCTCCTTCCCTCCTCCTCGTCTCCTTCTCCTCCTTGCCTCCTCCTCCTTCTCCTCCTCCAGCTGCTCCTCCTCGTCCTTCTCCTCCTCCTCCTCCTCCTCCTCTCCTCCTCCTCCTCCTCCTCCTCCTCCTCCTCCTCCTCTCCCCCCTCCTCCTCCTCCTCCCCCTTGTCTCCTGCCCTCCTCCAAGCATCGCCAGCGCAGCGAAATGCGCCATGCGCGAACCGGCAAGTTTGAGCAACCCCAACTCCTGCTTATCCAGGGGAACGAAGAATGACATAAACATAACAACTCGGAGGTCTGCGCGGATTTCTCGGATCGGCGCTGGCCCCCCTCCCTGCCTGGCGCGAATCGTTCCTGCTCCTCCTCCTCCTCCTCCTCCTCCTCCTCCTCTCCTCCTCCCCTCCTCCTCCTCCTCCTCCTCCTCCTCCTCCTCCTCCCCTCCTCCTCCCCTCTCCTCCTCCTTCTCCTCCTCCTCCTCCTCCTCTCTCTCCTCCTCCCTGTCCTCCCTCCTCGCCTGTTCCTCCTCCTCCCCCTCCCCCTTCCCCTCCTCCTCCTCCCTTCCCTTCTCCTTCCCTGCTCCTCCTCCTCCTCCTCCTCCTCCTTCCCTCCTCCTCCTCCTCCTTCTCCTCCTTCCCCTTCCCTCCTCCTTCTCCTGCTGCTTCTTCTTCTTCTCCTCCTCCTCCTCCTCCTCCTTACCTCCTCCTCCTCCTCCTCCTCCTCCTCCTCCTCCTCCTCTCGTTCTGTCTTCTCCTCCTCGTCCTTCCCCGCCGCATCCGATTGCCTCCGCAGGGGCGGGCAGGGGCGGAGGGGGAGAGAACAAGGAGGAGAGAGCGGAGAGGGCGGAGGTGGAGCGGAAAGAAAGGAGTCCCTGGAGTGGAATGGGGGCAAGGGTGGAATTGCATCCTGGCCAACGTCCACCTAACCAATCCATCGGCCAAGGCCCATTTGATTTCATTGGCTTGGCACTCAGGACAACTGTAGAAGATGACGAGGACGGGGGCAAGAAGGGGGGAGTACCACTAACTAGGTAACCCATGCACTCGCTCGTCAGGTTCCTAACACCAGTGGGTGCCACAACGAATGCAACACACCAGGGGCCGACAGCGGGCCAGAGCCGAAACGGGCCGAAGCCAAAACGGGCCGAGACGAAACGGGCCAGAGCCGAAACGGGCCGGGACGAGACCGGCCGAAGCCGAAACGGGCCAAAAAGAGGCCGATGAAGCGTACACTGGCCGGCGCCGAAAGGGGCCGCAGCCGGAGGCGGCTTCTTGTTCTGTCCAGGACAGAAGCAGGTCGGGTTTGAGGCCGAGGGCCCTGAGGGGGGGCTCGTGTCGGGCCCAGGGCAGATAGCCCAGGCCTCCCAAACGGTTGAAGCAGATGGGGTCGGAGGCTCGCGCCGCATCGCCGAGGCATCGGGGCCGACTGCGTGGAGAGTATCGGGCTCCACATCGAGCCGCATCGGCGGCGATGCGGCGCCATGCTCCGACCTTAATGGGCCCTGGAAACGACAGGGCCGTTTTTTTACCGGTTCCGTTTTGCCGTTTTCTTACACCGGTTCCGACGCCGTTTTTTTACCGGTTCCGTCGCCGTTTTTTGACCGGTTCCGGCTCCGGTTCCAATCCTGTAGCCGTTTTTTTGCCGTCTCCGGTCGCCGTTTTTTTCCGTTTCCATTTTCAAGGGACATTTTCAGGGCCACAAAGGCTCCGACCCCATCTGCCCGGACTCCGCTTAGTAAGCCTCTAGATGGAGGGCGCCCGCGGCGAGACATCCGCACGAGGGTCCAGGGTCAAAGAAGAACAAGCATCCCCTGCTCCTCTCCTCTCCTCTCTTGTGTCGCCTCGTCGTTCGTTCCCCCCTCGGTGCTCGTGTCCTCGTCGTCGTCGTCGTCGTCATCGTCGTCGTCGTCGTCGTCTTCGTCGTCGTCGTCTTCGTCGTCGTCGTCGTCTTCGTCGTTGTCGTCCTCGTCGTCGTCGTCGTCGTTGTCGTCGTCATCCTCCGAATCTTGTGGGCTGGTGAAGGGTCGGTTGAGCCAGCCGCCCGACCTCCTGCGCGCCTGCGGGCGCCTCTGCGCGGCCAGGCCCGTCCCGAGTTTGCGGCAGGGCGACCAGGCGGTTCTGGCCCGTCACGCTTCGGCGCGACACGTTGACTGAGGAGGAGGAGGAGGAGGAGGAGGAGGAGGAGGAGGAGGAGGAGGAGGAGGAGGAGTCTCCATCTTGCAAGGAGTCCACGTCCCGAGCTCTTTCCGGCCTCGCGCTCCGCGGAGCGGAGCGACACGCTAGCAGCTCTCAGGGCACGGCGTGCCGCCGGGGCCGCCGCGGAGACACGCGCAGCAAGAGTTCCTGATCGTATCCCCCTCCCTTCCTCGGCCTCGCTCATCGCGCAGCGATGCGCTAAATATTGGCGTGCTCCTCGTGCAAGGCTGCCGCACGCACATGGAGAACAGTGCGCATTACGCCTCTGCGCTGCGTCCCACACTCCGTCCCTCCAGCCGTTCCGCTCCATCCTCTCCGGGGAGGTCTCCCGTCCTTTGGTCTGGGTCACCCGCGGCTGCGCGCGCCGCGGCCTGGGCTGGAGAGGCGGGCAGCGCATGGGGCGCGAGGAGAGCCGCGCCGCGCGAAGGTGGGCCTCTTCGAGGTCTAAGGAAGTCCCCACAGGTCTCCGGAGGTCCCCAGACGCCCGCAGAGGTCTCCAGGGGCCTCCGGGAGGCTCCAGAGGCCTCCTGAGGCCCAGGAGAGACGTTGTCCAGCTGCCTGCGGCAAGCCACCGTGCCAGTCCAGCATGCTCGGCGGCTCTCCTTCGAGGGGGCACCGGAGGCCGTGCTTGCGAGGGTGGAAATCATGATAACGATGCTGCTGCTGACGATGATGATGAAGATGATGATGACGATGATGATGACGATGATGACGATGATGATGATGATGATGATGATGATGATGATGATGATGATCATCATGCTGGCGATGATGATGCTGATTATGCTGATTCTGCTGATGATGATGCTGCTTATGTTGATGATGATGATGATGATGATGATGCTGATGCTGATGGTAATGATGATGGTGATGATGATGACGATCGTGATTCTGATGATGATGGTGGTGGTGGTGATGGCGATGCGGATGATGATGGTGGTTGTGGTGATGATGAGGATTATGAAGATGATGGTGATGCTGATGATCATGGTGATAATGATGCTGAGGACGCTGATGAGGACGATGATGATACTGATGATGATGATGCTATAGATGATGCTGATGATGATCATAAGGATAATGGTGATGGTGGTGATGATGATTCCGATTCTGATGATGATGATTCTGATTCGCATGATGATGCTGATGCTGATGGCGCTGATGATGACGCTGAGGATGAGGATGAGGATGATTACGCTTCTGCTGCTGATGATCTGATTCGGATGATTGTGATGATGACGACGATGGCGATGATTTTGATGATGTTGATGTTGAGGATGATGATGCTGATGATGAGGCTGAGGTTGAGGATGAGGATGATTATCCTGCTGCTGCTGGTGATGATGACGATGTTGTTGTTGATGATGATGATGACTGTCATGATGATGCTGCTGATGCTGCTGCCGATCATGATGATGATGACGATGTTGCTGATGATGCCGCTGCTGCTGCTGATGGTGGTGATGATGATGATGATGATGATGATGATGATGATGATGATGATGGTGATGGTGATGGTGATGGTGATGATGATGATGATGATGATGATGATGATGATGATGATGATGATGATGATGGTGATGGTGAAGGTGATGGTGATGGTGATGATGATGATGATGATGATGATGGTGGTGGTGGTGGTGGTGATGATGATGATGATGATGATGATGATGATGATGATGATGATGTTCATGATCGGTGGGATATCTGGAGTTCCTTCTCGGGGGCTCGTTGGAGGCAGTTTAGAGGCTTCTTGGGGGTCGTTTGGCGGTCTCTTGGAGGCCTCTTGGTGGCTCCTGGGGACCTCTTCGGGCGGAAGACTGGAGTTGTCGGTTTGTGTCCCCTCTCTTCGGCCCCTCTAGGGGCTCTCTTGGGCTGATCTGGGCGCTTCTTGGGCCGTTTTGGGACCCTCTTGGGCCGTCTAGGGACCCTCTTGTGGGGGTCTTCTTGGAGCGCTCTCGGGGCTTCTTTGGGGCCTCCTAGGCGGCATCTTGAGCCATCTTGGCAGCCTTGGTGGCTTCCCATGTCCGTCTTGGAAGCCATCCTTGGCGCCTTGGAGGCCGCCAGGGACGTGTCGGGGCGCCGACAGAGCCTCGGGAAGAAGAGCCGAGGCGCGCGACGATGTGCGGCGGGGAGTCCGGGGGTCCGTTTGAAGACTGCAGAAACCCTACCAGACAGCACTTGGCATTCTAGCACGGCGCAACGTGCCAGGGGGCACGGTGGCAGCAAAACATTGTTTTCTATCATCGTGGGCAGAGCTTGGCACTCCGGCTCCTCCCCCCGTAGCGCGTCTCCCACCTGCCCCTGCGGCCTCTGTAGGGCGGAGGAGGTTCGTGTGAGTTGGGTGCTCTCCTGAGCGCCAGGCCTGGAGCTCCCGCGCGTGCTCGCTGGCGATTGGTCCCTCTTTCACGTGCTCGCTCCCTCGCCTCAGGATGCAAGTCCTGGGAGGTTCAGTTCAGCATCGGCGCTGGTATTTCTTTTGTCGGAGGTCGACTTAATACGACACGCTCCCGTTTAATCAGGCGGAAGGCCCGGTTACTTCGGCTTAATCCCCCGCTTAGTACGGACTAATCCGGCTTAGTGGCCCCTTAGTCGGGCCTGATAGCTCTCAATCGTTATCACCAAGACCTCCCATGAGCTGCTTCCTACCTCTCGTCTCCGCAGCCTTTTGGATCAGGTCCAGGCCTGCCAGGCTGCTTCCCACCTCCATCGCGACTCCCACGCGCAGCCTCCCATCGAAGAGCAGAAGTCCAGACATCCGACGCCTCGTTTTTTTCCAACACGGGGTCCCTGGAAGGCCCGAGCCTCTCCCCAGGGCCGGTCCTTCATCCCGCGAGCCGTTGCTTGACGGTCCCAGGGCCTGGCGAGGGCCACGGGAGGCCGGAAACGGCAGAAAAGACCTCTCGCCGCACTGCTTGCGACTCGCGGAGCTGCCCCCCCTCTTTCGGCAGCTCGGACCGACCGCACTCCGTGCACCAGTCCCTGGTGCCCGAGGCCGCCTGCGCACTCCTCGCAGCGGGCATGCTCTATGCCCGAGGCCTCCTCCCGCGTCCCTCCTCCACGGCCGCCCTCCCCTTCCCCCTGGTCCTGGCCGTGCGCGCCCAGTGCCCGTGCGGCCCGCTGGCCGTTCGAGCGCGTCTGCGTCCGCCCTCGCGGCTCGCCAGATTTCTTCCACGACCCGCGCATGTCTGGGAAGCGTGCGCCAGTCGCCGCCTCGATCATGCGCCTGACCTCCGGGGCCGCTTGGAGATCTGCGCGGTCCGAGGGCTCTCTGGGCCGCTCCGCGGCTGCTCCCTCCTCCCTCCTCGCCGCTCCTTGGCTTGCGCCGCAATCGGCCTCGGAGGCGTCCGGCTGTTGGCCCGACCGCTTGTGGGACCCGGCTCTCCGCAAGCAAAGCGGGCTCCCTTTGCGACTCGAGCACGTCTGGGAAGCTGGCCTGGGCCCACGGTCGACCTCCATGGTACGGAGGCGGCACTATCGCCGGGGCACCCTTGCATCCATGCCTCCTCGGCCAATCCGTGGCCAGTCTCGACATCCAGGGGCACTCACTCGGAAAGGTCCGAGGTCCCTGCACCCTTACCCTGCGTCCTAGCTGCCGATTTGAACTGCAAGCTGCGAGGGGGGATCCAGCGCCGACCTCCAGAGCAGCTCGCACAGGGGTGTGGCACGGGGATGTGTAGTGCCAGTGCTGGCAGCGGCGATGTCGTTCACGATCCAGCCAAGACGCTGAAATAAGGGACAGTTTGGGTTCGGAAGGGGCTCAATGTTCCCTAGGTCCTTCCATGGCTGTTTCTCTGGCTCTCCTCGTGCACGCAGGCGCTGTGGAGGCCAGAAAACGGTCTCGTTTCTCATCTGGTGTTCCTTACTGTTAGCAGCCCGACCGCATCCGCAAGTGCGTTTGCACCCCGACTTCAGTACAACGGTGGCTTCGCGCGACCGCTTCGAACCAGTGGTTCCAGCTTTCCCACACGACCGCCGCCCAATCTGAACGGCGACGTGAACGGCTGTCTCAGGACGCTCGACCTAACCCTGACCTTCCAGGAGGGCTAAAAAATAGCACGCGACTTAAACACCTATCCCAGAGCTATTCTATGTCTTGGTTTTAGGCTGTTTCGTTTCGTGTTTCAGGTTTTTAGGCCTCCCGTGCTAAGAAATAGCTCTCTGGAAGGGAAAAAGGCGCGGGCCTCCGGCGGCTTTTTGCTGCCGCGCTCTGCTCTTCTGCCCTCTCGGAGGCCGCGGCGGCGCCACGTCCCGCGGGGGGGGGCCGGAGCCCCCCGCCCCGCCCGCCGCCGCCGATGCCCTCGCGCCTCGCGGTGGCGAGCCCGGGTGCGCTGCTCCGGACGCCGCGCCCGCACGGCGACGCCGGCGCGGGCGGAGGTTCGGGCCGGAGGGCGCCAGCTGCGCTGCGCCGCTGACGCGGGGGCGGACAGAACCCCCAACAGGGACGCGTCGACTAGTGAGTTGTCCGTTTTCGGTTCTCGCGAGGGCGCCGCGGCCGCTATGTTCCAGGCTTGCGCCCGCCAGGTTTGGGCCTCAGGTCGTTTTCACTCAACCACGTTTTACTAAAGGGAGGTCTGTCCACCCCCGACTGAAGCGGGCACAGCAAAGAGCCACAACCGCAACCGAGTGGATTTTTCGGGAGGGCTCCTCGGGGGAGAGGCCACCGACCTCGACATGAGGACTTTGGTTGTGGTTGTGGTCGATTTGGTCGTCCCAGGGCGCCACGTCGACCACAACCAGTACGTAGCTGGATTTTCGGAGTTCCGACAGTTTTTGGCATGCGCAAGACATCCCCCACAGGATGTGCTCTCGATGTGATTGTGGTCGCTTGCTGCTGCCAAGATATCGGGCGGCGTCCGCCGTGCACCTGCGCCGGTCTCAAGTCGGGCCTTTCCCTCTACAGGAGGATTACTCCAGATTTCGTAATAAAAGGGAGGGGGTCTGGACCCTCCAAGACAAGCCGTTTCAGACCTCCCCCGTGGGGGAACCCTCCAAAACATCGTCCCCAGACCCCCCAGGCCCTCCAAGATAGCCTGGAAGAGACCCCCCCCCCGAAATGAGACCCCCCTCCCTTTATTACGAAATCTGGAGTATCCAGAAATAATCAAAAAATCATACGGTTGACCGTTTTTGAGCATTTTGGGGATATGTTTTGATTATTCTATCCCCAATCAGAGCTTGCCTCTGTAGGGGTCCTAGCGGATTCATTTTGTTAGGCGAGGTGGGCCGCCGATTTCGGTGGCTGGCCAGGGTGCCGGGGTGCCCGGGTGCCTGGGGGTGTCTGGAGGTGCCCGGGGTTGCCCGGAGGTGCCCGGGGGTGCCTGGGTGCCGGGGTGCCCGGGTGCTCTATCGCCCTATAGCCCTATAGCCCTATAGCCCTCTAGCCCTATAGCCCAATAGCCCTATAGCCCTATAGCCCCTATAGCCCTATAGCCCAATAGCCCTGTAGCCCTGTAGCCCTATAGCCCTACAGCCCTTCAGCCCTACAGCCCTACAGCCCTATAGCCTTATAGCCCTATGGCTCTATAGCCCTATAGTTCTATAGCCCGATAGCCCATATAGCCCATATAGCCCATATAGCCCAATAGCCCTATAGCCTATAGCCTATAGCCCTAAACAATTCGGATTGGGTTTTTCTCCGGTATCATCATCTTCTTCGTCCACAGCCCGCCTGTAGGAGGACATGCCCGACCTGAGGCCAGGGCACCACTCGCGAGGCCAAGAGGTCCCCAGGAGCTCCAGCAGGGCCCGAGGAGCCGGGGACACCCTGGGCCCGGAGCGTTCTCGACAACCTCCGAGCGAGGTTTTCTTGTTTTTTGTATGCTTTTCGTTTTTGGTGGGGCCCTTGTGGCCACGGCCGGACGCAGCTCACGAAACTCGTCAGGATAATGCCTGGGAGGTGCCCGGGTGAAAGTATCCCTCGCCAGCTTCGCGCCGCCTCGGTGCAGCGGTGGCGCTTGCGCGGGCATTCCAGGTTGAGCACTTTCGTTGGCTCCTCTCTGCTCCTTCCTCCCCTCCTCTCTGCTCCTTCCTCCTCCTCCTCTTCCTCCTCCTCCTCCTTCTCCTCCTCCTCTCTGCTCCCTCCTTCTCCTCCTCCTCCTCCTCCTCCTCCTCCTCACGCACTGGCGGCCACGCGGCGGTCTGTTCCGCCGTAGCCGAGCGCGCGCGCGCCCGCCCGCCGCCGCGGTCTGAGCGCGTGCAACATAATCAGGAACCAGCCTCTGGGCCCAAGAACCCCCGCCGAGGACGAGAGAGAAACCTCGAAACCAACGACCTGAGAGGGCCTCGAGACGGGGGGGAAGGCGGGGGGCCCAAGGCCCGCGTGTCGAAGACCCGAGGCCCAGTTCTTTTTAGTCCCCCAACCGCCACCTCGATACCAGAAGTCGAACTCCTTCACGAGCAAGCCATGCCGAGGTGATCGTGTGGGAGGGCCAAATTGTCGTGCAGATGCGAGGCCCCCCCCGCTGAAACAGGAAAAGAGCCGAGTGACGGCGGTCGTGGGGCCAAAGCGGAAGGAGAGAGAGGGGGGACCCACGGGCACAGGGCGAGGCGACCGAGCTCCCGAGAGACCCCGAAGAAGGGAAGGGGAGGGGGGCCTCGGGGGGCCTCTGGGCGGCCGTCGGCGCGCGGCCGCCGCGGGCCCAGATGCAAGACGTAGGCGTCCACCTCGCCCCCCTCGCGGCCGCCTGCGCCCCCTAGGTGTATCTAAGGGGTCGGCGCGCTCACCGCAGAGGGGGGAGTCCTCGACCCTGGCTGTTCGTGTTGCAGGCGTCGCTGTCGGTCGCCCTCTGGTGCTGGCCGAGGCTCTGGATCACGAGCCCCTCGTAGGGGCCCGGGCCCAGGCCTGGGGGGCCTGCCGCACCGCTTCGGGTGGTTGCTGCTTTCCTTCTCAGACCCGCCCCGTCCCCCGCCCTTCGGCGCCGGCGGCGCTGCGGAGGTCGGGGAGGCTGCCACCACCCTTCGGCGCCGTGCGCTGTGGTGACGAGCCTTCGCGGTCCTCTTCCTCCCCCATGTTGTGGCTCTCCGCATCCATGCCATTGTTGTCGTCGGGGAGGTCCTCGTCACATCGGCTGTCGCTGCGATCCCTGAGGCTGCTGCCCCGCTGGTCGCAGTCGTGTTCGCAAACGCCACTGTCCTTGAAGTAGCCATGTTTTCCGCCTTGCTGCGTTCTGTGTTGTCTATCTTCTGACTCAAAGCGTGGCGACGCCCGCCCGAGGCTGGCACCCTCTGGGAGTCCCTGCTCCTGAGCAGCGCATACCTCGAGCGGGGTGGATGGGTCGTCGGGGGCCTTGCCCTCGCGGCCGCTACCCTCCACAGGCGGCACAGCTTGGCGACGTATGCCTGAGGCTTCGCATGCCTCAAGCGTTGTGTCAGGTGCGTCACGGCTCGTTCCCTCGCAGACGCTACCTTCCACATGCGGCAAGACTTGGCGACGTGTGCCCGAGGCTTCCCATGCCTCAGGCGTTGTGGCAATTGCGTCTGGGGTCGTTCCCTCGCCGACGCTGTTGGGTTGGTCCGCGTCTTGTAAGTCATCGCATTCGTTCCAAGGTCCAATCCATGCTGTTGTTCCACTGTCATCGTAGTGCCATGGTTGTTGTCGGAGATGGTTCTCGATATGACTTCATCCATTGTTGTGGCCAGCTGGTCGGTCGTTCCAGCTGGAATCCATGTTGTACTCGGCGTGGTCCTTGTCCTGTTGTCTGCTCGGATGTCCATGTGCTCCACTATCTTTCTCTAGTTGCAGCTCTCGCGCGTGTAGCACTGGATGCCGTGGGCCATGCCTTCTCCTCCTCCTCCTCCTCCTCCTCCATATCGCTACGCGATCAGGCAGAGTCTCCAGAGTCTCCTCCTCCTCCTCCTCCTCCCCCGCCTCCTCCTCCTCCTCCTCCTCCTCCTCCTCCTCCTCCTCCTCCTCCTCCCCCTCCCCCTCCCCCTTCTCCTCCTCCCCTTTCTCCTCCTCCTTCTCCTCCTCCTTGGAGTTCAGATGACAGAGGTCGAAAGCGACATAGCGTCATAGACATAACTGTCAGCGCTCCGCGTGGATGTCCTGCATTGGTGCTGGGCCCCCCTGCGGGCCCAGCGCGGATCCAAGAGATCCGCGCGGGCCTCCGAACTTGTATGTTCATGCCGCTCCTTCTTCTTCTTCTTCTTCTCCTTCTTCTTCTTCTTCTTCTCCCTCTTAATGCCGCTTCCTTCTTCTTCTTCTTCTTCTTCTTCTTCCCCTCCTTCTCCTCAGAAGACAGCCCGTGTTGCAGGCCGGACGGTTCACGCGGTGTCAGCCGACAGCGCCAGCGTCGTCAAGGCAGGAGCCTGCCGCACACCGGCCCCTGCGTGTGGCCAGCACTCGGCGCAGGGGCGGCAAACCGGCCGGATCGGCGCAGTGGGCGCGTGGCCGGCGTCCTCCTGCGGTGGGGGCCTGAAGTGGTGTGCAAGCGCATAAAGCGACGTGAAGATCGGGACAAAATCGGATCGGGATAACTCGAAATCTCTGAGAATCGGCGGGTTTGGAGGATGTATTGGGCGCCGCGGCCGCTCCAGAGCGTTCCGGAACGCTCTGAGAGCGCTCCGGAACGCTCTGGAGCGATTTATCCCGATCCTAGCCCTGTTTTAAGCGCAGGCTGATGCCACACTCGTGCCAGCGCGTTGTTTTTTTTTGGGGGGGGGGCAAGGCGTGGCACGAGCACAACCTTTCGGAGCTCCACACGGATCTCTCGGATCGGCAGTGGGGTTCCCCCCCACCGGCGCCTCTGGCACCGCCCTCGGCACGTTCCGCGTCCGATCCAAGAACTCCGCGCGGACCTCCAAAAGTTTGTGTTTTTGCAATTTGCCGTTTTTCTGCTCTCGGCATGGATCCCGCACGCGGACGCCCTCGAGGCATGCGCTTCTCCTGCACCCCCCCCGTTCGCTTGCATGCCATATCAGAGCCCGCGAGAGGTTCTCGCTCGAGCGCGGCGGGGCCCGGGGCTCAGTGGCCGCCCCGCCATCCATGGGGATTCGAATTGCGGGTCCTGCGGTGGCAAGCCGCAGAAGTTCGCTCTGGAGAGCAGATGGGCAGACGCCTGTCCTCCGGGAGCGCGGCTGTGCGCCCAGGGTTCCCGACCGCGATCTTTTCGCGCTGTGGCCCACGCGGGCCTCCGAAAAGTCATGTTTTTGCAGTTTTTCCTTTATGTGAAGGCAGCCTTCGGGTCGTCCTGGGGCCTCCTTAGGGCCGCTTCCTGGGGCGGGTAAGAGCACTTGCGCTCTCCGGGAAATGGCGCGGGCGTTATTCTTTCAATGGGTTGGCTCGCCATAGTGAGAGGGGTCCTCTTTGGGGGGTACCTGCATGAGTACTCCCTATCGGGGGCCTATCGCCGATCTGTCGGCGATGCACTGCCGATTCCAGGTCAATGTTCCCCCCCCCCCCAATGCCAGTCCCCCCATATCGTGGCCCCCCAGGAGGAAGAGGAGGTACCCCTTCCTGACGTGAAGTGTTCCTGAGTTTTTTCCCCAGGCAGAGCTTGCACTTAGGGGCTATTTTTTCGGAAGAAATGGGCTGGTGTGGCGGTCTGGCGGCTATGTTGTCGCCGTCGCCGTCCCGTCGCCGTCTCGTCGCCGCCCGTCGTCTGGGCCAGTGTGGCGGTCTGGCGGCTATGTTGCCGTCGTCGCCGCCCCGTCGCCGCTTAGTCGCGGCCTCTGAAGAAAGCCATAGGTCTTGCAAAATTTGCATAACATGCTACCAAATGGGCCTCTCGCGCGCGCATGTCAAAATCGTTCTGACACCCTTGCGCGAGTGCGAGAGGCCCATTTCAGGTTGGTGAGGTGAGCCCCTTGCGCGCGTGCGAGAGCCCACGACGAGCATGGTACGATTGAGAATGGTCATGGTGATGATGATGATGCTGATGAGGCTGATGCTGATGCTGCTGATGATGATGCTGATGGTGGTGATGGTAATCATGGTAACGGTCATGGAGATATGTTGCGGTGATGGTGGTGGTGGTGCTGGTGATGATGAGGAGTAGGAGGATGATCGCGCGTCACCGAGCGCGGAGTCTGACCTTGCCAACCGTTTCTGCCCGATGCTGGGAACTGGTTCAGGGGTCCTTGTCGGCCTTGCTCAGCTTCCATGTTTGTCGGGGGAAGATAGGTTGACGATGGAGGAGGTGGAAGAGGAGGAGGAGGGGGAGGACGAGGAGGAGGAGGAGGAGGAGGAGGCCTTCCGCCTTCGCCTTGGGCGCCCCCTCAGCCCCTGGGCTTCTTTGACTTGTTGTCCTCTCCCGTGCTTTGTATGAGCTTGGGTATTTGCGTGCATCCGCGCATCCGAGTAGGAGAAGGGTCAGGTGATGGGGGAGGAAGGGAGGATAATGAGGATGGGGAGGAGGAGGGGAGGTGGAGGAGGAGGAAGAGGCGGATGATGAAGATGATGCTGCTGCTGCTGCTGCTGCTGATGATGATGATGATGATGATGATGATGACTATGCTTCTGATGCTGCTGATGATGACGATGACGATGCTGATGGTGCTGATGTCGATGATGATGACGATGCTGATGCTGATGATGATGGTGATGATGGTGATGCAGATGATGGTGGTGATGCTGCTGATTATTATGCTGATGATGATGGTGATGATGCTGCTGCTGCTGCTGCTGATGATTATGACTCTGGTCATAACGATCCTGATGATGCTTGTGACGTCGATGACGACGATGGTGCTGCTGCTGATGATGATGAGGAGGATGATGATGATTCAACTGATGATGATGCGGACGAGGATGATTATTCGGATGGCGATGACGATACTAATGCTCCTGATGCTGATGAGTTTGATGATAATGTCTTTGATGATGCTGATGATACTTATGACGACGTTGATGACCATGGTTCTGCTATTGATGCTGATGATGCTGATTCTGATGCTGCTGCTGATGATGATGCTACTGCGGCTTATGATGACGATGATGATGCTGATGATGATGATGATGATGACGATGGCGTTGATGATCAGGATGATGCTGCGATGGTGATGCGGCGTACGATTTTGATGACGACGACCACGACGATGCTGCTGCTGAGGATTATGATACTAATGATGAGGATGATGATGCTGACGATGTTGGTGCTGCTGATGATGATGCTGATGATGGTGACCAGTATGTTGATGATGATTGCGATGATGATGCTGCTGGTGATGCTGATGATGACTTTGATGATGATGATGCTGATGATGATGATGAGGATGAGGATGAGGATGATTATGATGCTGCTGATGATTCTGATTATGATGATGATGATGATGGTGATGATGATGATGATGATGATGATAATGCTGCTGCTGTTGCTGATGATGACGATGATCATGTGATGCTGCTGCTGCTTTTGATGATGCTGATGCTGCTAATGCTGCTGCTGCTGCTGATGATGATGATGATGATGCTGATGCTGATGCTGATGATGGTGATGATGATGCTGCTGATAATGATGATCATGGTGGTGGTGATGCTGGCAGCGATGTTGATGATGCTGCTGCTGCTGATGACGACGACGACGACGATGATGATGATGATGATGAGGATGATGCTGATGATGTTGATGATGATGATGCTGATGATGATGATGATGATGATGATGATGATGATGCTGATGATGATGATGATGATGATGATGATGATGATGATGATGATGATGATGATGCGGCTGCTGCTGCTGCTGATCATGATCATGATCATGATGATGATGCTGATGATGATGATGATGATGATGATGATGATGATGATGATGATGATGATGATGATGATGATGATGATGATGATGGTGGTGGTGGTGGTGGTGGTGTGTGTGGTGATAATGATGACCATGACGATGATTCTGATGAGTAGGAGGAGAGGAGGGAGGAGGAGAGGAGGGAGGAGGAGGAGGAGGAGAGGAGGAGGAGGAGGAGACGAGGAGGAGGAGGAGGAGGAGGAGGGAGGAGAGAGGAGGAGGAGAGGAGGAGGAGGACGGGGGACGAGGGGGAGGAGGAGGAGGAGGGGAGGAGGAGGAGGAGGAGGAGGGAGGAGGAGGAGGAGGAGGAGGAGAGGAGGGAGGAGGAGGAGGGAGGAGGAGGAGGGAGGAGGAGGGAGGAGGAGGAGGAGGAGGAGGAGTGGAGGAGGAGGAGGAGGAGGAGGAGGAGGACGAGGAGGAGGAGGAGGAGAGAGGAGAGGAGAGGAGGGGAGGAGGGAGGAGGAGGAGGGAGGAGGAGGAGGAGGAGGAGGAGGATAGGAGGATAAGGTCGCCCGGGAGGGGCTACCCCCATAAGCGGGGTGTCGGGCCAATGCGCCCCCTGATGCAGGCGGGAAGCATCGGGCCCTCGGGGTCCAAACCCCCACAAGTCGGGGACGGCCCCCAAACCGGGGTTTCCTTCCCGGGGGGGGCTGCCAGGTTCCTCTGCTGCGTCGGGGCAGCGCGGGGTTCCCCCCCCCGCGTTCGCCGCCTCGGCGCGGGACCGGCGGTCCCGTCTCCCCTGTCGGTCGCGTCGTCTTTTGCCGCGAAGGTTGGGGTCGCTGAGGGCGGGTGATCTTCGGCACCCCAACCGCTTCCGCGGATGTTCCTCGTGCTGGAGCTGTTCGCTTCACCGAAGGCGGCCCGCTCGCGCGTCCGCGATGGGCCGCGCGGCCGCGTTCGGCCGCTGGTGGACTCGCGGCGTCCTGGTGCCCCCGCGCTCAGCCGCCCATGATGGAAATCTGGAAATCAGGATAGGAGGATGAGTAGGAGGAGGAGCAGGAGGAGGAGGAGGAGGCGGAGGAGGAGGAGGAGGAGGAGGAGGAGGAGGAGGAGGAGGAGGAGGACGAGGAGGTGGAAGAGGAGGAACCGCAGGAGGAGGAGGAGGAGGAGAAGGAGGAGGAATATATGGCGGAGGTTGAGGAGCAGGAGAAGGAGGAGGCGGAGCTGGAGGAGCTGGAAGACAGTTGCTTCCGGCCTGACACAAGGCGGCCATCGCGGGTCCCCGCAGCGGCTTCGCAGCAGGGCGCAGGCGCTCCCGGGGCTGGCCGCCGCTGCCGACCTCGCCTCGACCCCGAGGGCCTTGCTGCCGCTGTCGCCGTGGCCGCCGCCGTTGCCGCCGTGGCCGCCGTCGCCGCCGCCGCCGCGGTCGCCGCCGCCGTCGTTGCCCTCGCCGTCATCGCTGTCGCCGGCGCTGCCACCGTCGCTGCCGTGGCCGCTGCCGCCTGCGGTCGCCGCTGTCGCAGCCGCCGCCGTGGCCTCAGACCTCCGGCGGACTTTTTTTGCGTTCCTGGTTGTGTTTTTTCTCGCGTTCGGCCAGAGGGCCGCTTTCGGAGTCCAGGGCCATCATGCATTGATCAAGGACGAGAGTTGGCGCCCAGAAGGGGTCGAGACCTTTGGGGCGCGCGGAGTGAACAAAACGCATCGTCGGATGTCAGGGGCAGCCCCCTTCGCTGGCACCGCCGCCAACTCCGTTGCAGTCGTCGTCGTCGTGTCCGTCGTCGTTTCCGTCGCCGACGTCGCCGTCCCCGTCGCCGTCGCCAGGAGGAGGGCGGGGAGGAAAAGAAACATGGGGAGGGGTGGGGGCCAGTTCGGTAGTTCGTTTTCTGTTGTTGCTGTTGTTTGTGATTTGTTGTGTGTTGTGTGATGTGTGTGTGTGTGTGTGTGTGTGTGTGTGTGTGTGCGTGGGTGCGTGCGCGCGCGTGTGTGTGTGTGTGTGTGTTTGTTTATTTGTTTGTTTGTTTGTTTGTTTGTTTGTTTGTTTGTTTGTTTGTTTGTTTGTGTGTGTATGCGTGCTCGACTTGCTCCGCTTCGTCGCTGCGCGCGAGGCCGCGATCGCCTTACACATGTGCGTGAATGAGAGAGAGAGAGAGAGAGAGAGAGAGAGAGAGAACGCGCGCGTGTTCGTATGTGTGTGTGTGTGTTGGGCAGGGAACCTCAACTGTCGTTCTTCCCCTCCTCCTGTTCTTGCGTTGAGCAAGATGACCAGTGCGCACAGGAGATGTTTTCTGCGAGGGCACCTTCAGAAGGAATCGCTAAAGGGGTGCGTTGGAGCCATCCTAAGCCGACTCGATCGTCATGTGTCAACGCGTCTTGCAGGTTGTAACGCCTATGTGCCGCCACGTGCTCGGCCGCGTAACGCTCATTATGCTTCCCTGTCTCATGTGGAGTGACTGCGTGGGGGCTTGCCCGTCGCAACATGATGTTTTTATAGTGCCCGATGTGTCTGTAGTGCAGTTGCCGCGCTGCGAGCTTCCCTGTGTATATGCTGGCACTGTAAACCGTTGAACAACAGGTTAGGGGGCGACGCGGAACACGCGGTCACTGCCCTCTCGCCTGCCAGTCGTGCCCCAGTGCCAAGCCGAGATCGGGCCGATGACCGTTGGGTCAGCGACTCAAAACGTTGACCCTCGAGGTCTGGACCTCTTCCCGAGGGATCGGTTCTTCATCCCGAGTCGCTTTCTGACGGCCCCGTGGCGACGAGGGTGTCAGGGTCCGATATATATATATATATATATACATAAAAAAAGGAATCGGGGATGCCTGGGCTCCCCTTCCCCTTCCACCCCTCTCTGGCAGGCGGGCGGGTGTGTCAGAGGATGGAAACGTACCCATACCGCTACCCTTTCCTCGTTTTCCATTTCTTCAACCTCCTGGGAGGCCCTCATCGCCACGGCTGGACTCGGCTCGAGATCCTGGTCAGAACGCGTCTCTGGAGAGGCCCGGGGAGTGACGGTATCGGCACCTTTGGTTTCCCCAGTGTGTGGGTGGGTCTTCGCGCAAGCAAGTTGTGATGGCGCCTGCAATGGGATGCCGCGAGGGGGGTGGGCTTCCAAAAAGGCGGCGGGGCTTCTCAGAAGGGCAGGGGCCTTCGTAGAAGGCCCTGGGACCTTCAAGAGGGCTTCTTGGAAAAGAAGCTCCAAGACAAGCTAAACCAATCACACCATTTGGTAGCCTGAACACGCCATCTGGTACGGGGGGGGCGTTCCCTTAGGGAATGTGCCCAGGAGGCTTAAGACCCTGCGGGATTCCTTATCTAATAAAGGGCGGCGGTGATATCTATGGCCCCTCCACGATTGGAGTTCCAGCGGCTCCCAGACCCTGGAGTCCTTATCCCATGGTGCCTTATCCAATGCCTTCACCATAGCCCCAGCACGCCATTTGGTGACCCAGGCACACCACCTGGCAGCCCAAACACCGCCCTCGCGCCCCACCCCCGCCCGTGGGCGCCGTTAATTGAGTGACGTAAGAGGGCGGGGTCGACTGGGCCGACATTCGCGCCTAAGCTGCCCGCGTAAGATCGCGCGTAAGCGCCCTCGTTTGCCATAGGGCGTGCCGCGCTGGCGGCCCGCGTAAGCCGCCGCGTAAGGTCGCTATGCCATCTCGCGTACGGCACCTTTCTTGTCGTCGCTCACCTGGTAGCCCAAGCTCGCTACTTGATCAGTCCTGGCAGTCGCTGCTGGACTGGGGTGACCGTTGGATCCAAGGTTTCGATGTCGATTTTTGTTGGCGGGCACCGTTCAACCCTTCAGGGCAGCCCAGCACTGTCACATTTTGCGCGGCGGTTGCACGACGACGGCGGTTGCGCGAAAGAAGCGTGTTTGAAACCATTAATGTTCGCGCGCGTGGAAACTGTAGCAGAGTGGATTTGAACGCGTTTTTTTGTTTCCAGACCGTATGTGTGATTGTTTTTGAATAAATGGCCCCTTCATCGCAAAGGTATGTTTACGCTTTCAGAATACATCCGTTTCTTCGTTTACGTTTTGTCGATGTTCACTCTTCGGTTTGTTCATGGTTTGGGTTTTTTGTCGAAAGACGTAGACCGTGCGGTCAGTCGACCGACTCTCGGCCGCTGTCAAAATCTCGTAGGCGGGGTTTATCGGTTTAACCGAGATGTCGTTTTTCCCAAATCTGAGCTTGTCTCTGTAGGGGTCCTAGCGGGTACACATGGTTAGGTGAGGTTTGCCACCGATTTCCGCGGCCCGCCTGGGTGCCTGGGTGCCCGGGTGCCCTATAGCCCTATAGCCTTATAGTTTTATAGCCCTATAGCCCCATAGCCCAACAGCCGTATAGCCCTATAGCCCAATAGCCCTACAGCCCTATAGCCCCATAGCCTCATAGCATTAAAGCTCTATAGCCCTATCGTTCTAGAGTCCTATAGCTCTGTAGCCCTATAGCCCTATAACCCAGTAGCCTTACAGTCCTATAGCCCGATGGCCCAATAGCCCAATAGCCCTATAGCCCCATAGCCCCTATAGCTTTATAGTCCTATAGCCCAATAGCACAATTGCCCTATAGCCCTATAGGCCTGTATCCCTATAGCCCTATAGCCTTATAGCCTTACAGCCTTATACCCCTATAGCCCTATAGCCCTATAGCTCTATATGCCTATAGCCATATCGCCCTATAGCTCCATAAACCTGTATCCCTATAGCCCTATAGCCCTATGGTCCTATAGCCCTATAGCCCCATAGCCCTATAGACTCATAGCCCTATGGCCCTATAGCCCTATAGCCCAATAGCCCCATATCCCCATAGCCCCATAGCCCTATAGCCCTACAGCCCTATAGCCGTATGACCCTACAGCCCTATAGCCCAATAGCCCGATAGGCTTATAGCCCTGTGGCCCTATAGCCCTATAGTTCCATAGCCCCATCGCCCTATATATAGCCCAATAGCCCCGTAGCCCTACAGCCCTAAAAAGGCTTTGATTGTTTTTTTCTCCGGTATCACTATTTTCAGGGGTGGTTGCCCTTGAAGATTCGGCTTATGTTGTCGTTGTTTTTCTTAGGCGATCGGGTTTACAAGATTGTGCCGGGAGTGATGCTACTTGGTGACCTAAGCACGCCACTTGGTACTCCAGATTTCGTAATAAAAGGGAGGGGGTCTGGACCCTCCAAGACAAGCCATTTCAGACCTCCCCCGTGGGAGAACCCTCCAAAACATCGTCCCCAGACCCCCCAGGCCCTCCAAGATAGCCTGGAAGAGACCCCCCCCGAAATGAGACCCCCCTCCCTTTATTACGAAATCTGGAGTACTTGGTAACCCAGGCACGCCACCCGGTAGCCCAAATGCCGCCTTCGCGACCCCCCCCTGGTGGGCGCCGCAGGCCCCAGATAGCTGGCGTCTCGGTTTCTTCGAGACACGGGCCCCTGGCCTCTCGGCCACTTCCCTGGAGTTGGGTTTTCATCCCGAGTCGTTTCTTTATTCACTAAGTCAAAACAGATGCCCAATCCCAAAAACGCGAGGGCCAAGACAAAATGCAGGCTCCTCGAGACTTCGGTGAGGGAGATTTTGGGGCAGGGTTTTACCAGGGCGACGACGAACGCAAAACATACCCCGAAATCTTTGGCCGATCTTCGATTCCTCGGTGAATCCGCGATTTTGGGATTGGGGATGTGTTTTTTCGTGGTCATTTATGGCCCCGAGGGGCCGAAGACAAAGCAAAGCCGCCGATTCGTCTTTTCCGAGACGCGCGATGTCTGGGACTGTCCCCGGCTTGCCCACCAGGCGCCCTGCCCGCGCCGCCCCCTTCCTGAGATCCGACGTCGCGAAAGAATGCAACATCTAAAAAAATGACGGCTTGAACCCGAGACTCCATCCTTCTGCCTGATTTGTCGAGCCGCATCGATCGGTGAGGGCCCTGGGGCACGGAACCGGGCGAAAACGTTTGGCTCGAACAAATTTCGACGCAAGGATCTCATGGCCCCGTAGGCTTACCCTTAGGCCTACCCCCTAGGCCTACCCTAGGCCTACCCTAGGCCTACACCTAGGCCTACCCTACGGTCTACCCCAGGCCTACCCCTAGGCAGTCCCCCTGGGCCTACCTGAAGCCTGCCGTAGGCCTACCCCCCTAGGCCTACTCTAGGCCTACCCCTAGGATTATCCCTAGGCATTCCCCCCTAGGCCTACTGCCAAGCTTTCCCCCCAGACCAACCCCCTGGTGGGCGCCGCCACCTGTCCTCGGCTCGCCCGCCGGACGCCCTGCTCGGCGGCTCCGCGGCGGTCGGCGCCCTCCGGGCCTGGGCTCCCTGGGAAGCCGCGCCGGCCTCGGCAGCCCCCCCCCCCCCGGCAGAGCCCGGGGGGGCCAGCTGCTGGCCGACGAGGCTCGCACGGCGTCGATCCGCCCCGAAGGCGACAGCGAGCAAGAAGGGTCCCCAGACATGCAAACACTTCAAAATATTTTATGTAGTTTCAAGGACGTTAAAAACAAAACGCAATAAAACAGAGCTTAAGTGTGAGTAGCAGAAAAAGGGGGACATGCGACGTCCAGATTCTTTCAGGGCGGCGCCCCTGGAAGTCCCGGCCCCTTCCCCCGGACCAGTTTTTCGTCCCGAGTCGTCTTTCGACGGTCCCGAGGCCCTGCGAGGGCCCCCCAGGCCGAAGCTGGCCAAGAGCCTCCCGTCCCGTTTTTGGTTGTCGACGCGGTCATGTCTGGGTCCTCGGCTCGCCCGCCAGGCGCTCTGCTCGGCGGCTCCGCGGTGGTCGGCACTCTGGCCACGGCGAGGCGCTGGCGCCGACGCGCGCCGCGGCGCGGCGGCGCGCGCTCCGCGCGCGGCAGGGTGGCCTGCACGGCCGTCGCCGCGCCGCTCGCGAAGACGAGGCCGCGAGGCTCGGGACGGGCAAGGGGATATGATGCTGAGTATTCATTTCTGAGGAATGATTGCTGTTGAGCTCCAGAAGCGGTTCCGCGCGTTCTCGCCTCGACGCCGGCTACATTTTCTCGGAAAACGAGGCTCCCGCTCGAGCGTGGGCTAGAACCCAAATGTGGGCCCTTGGAGGCCCAGCTACGACAACAACGGCTCCCGCTCGACTCTTCTTCACAATTTACCCCGAGACACCCTGGCCAGAGAGGCCCCTGAACCCAGGAACGGCGCTCTCGCTCGAGTTCTCCTTGCAATTCAATCAAGTTGGCGGAGGCCCAGCCTCGACGACAAGGGCTCCTGCTTGATACTTCCTCACGATTTACTCCGAGAGCCCCTGGCGAATAAGGCCCCCGAACTTAGGAACGGCGCTCTCGCTCGAGAATTTCCCGTCGAGACATCTTCGCACTTCAATCAGTGGCCGACAAGGAAGAGATTTCCCCCGAAAGGGGGTGCAAACGAAGACGAAGTGGGCAGGTATCGAGGGTTGGGGTATGCGGAATGCAAGACACGCGTGCCAGTAAGAGCGAACAGTCTTAAGGTGATTAATATTGTTGTTGTTGTTGTTGTGGGTCTGGTTGTTGTTGGTGGTGTTGGTGTTGTGGTAGTTGCTGTTGTTGTCGTTGTTGTTGTTGCTTTTACGTTTGATGATGTCGTTGTTGCTGTTGCTGTTGTAGTTGCTGTTGGTATTGTTGGTGTTGGGGTTGTGGCTGTAGTTGCTGTTGATGTTGGTGTTGTTGTTGTTGTTGTTCTTGTTACTGGATTCGTTATTGATGCTATCGTTGTTGTTGTTGCTTTTGTCGCTGTTGCTGTTGCTGTTGCTGCTGTTGTTGCTGTTGACTTCTCACAACTGAAGAACGATTATGGTTGATCTCCCCTTCGGTGACCACTGTGTTTTTTTCATTTGAAGGCCTCCCCCCGGGGGCTCGCACTTTTTGTGTGTTATATGTACATACACATATTATTATGGCCGTTATCACGATTATTATTATTTAAGAATGGAAGAAACTTAGGGGAAGTCATTCGGCTCAAACTGCGTTGTTGGCCCCCGAACTACAACAACAGCGGCTCCCGCCTAACACTTCCTCACAATTTATTCCCAGATCGCGCTCTCGCGCGGGACCTCCTCACAATTCATTCTGGAATCGCGCTCTCGCGTTGGACTTCCTCACAGTTTATTTAGACGTCCGCCCCCGACATTCAGGAGTCACGCTCTCGCTTTGGATTTCGTCACGATTGATTTGGGAATCGAGCTGTTCCTCGAGACGTCCTTGCGATTCATGCAGGACGCACGCGTGAGCAACCCGCCTGCTCGACCTGGCCGCCTGGGCCCTCTTCCCGACCCGCGCCCGTGCTCCATCCTCCTCCCTCCCCGTTGTCCTTCCTTCCGTCCGTCCTCTCTTCCCCTGCCTCAGGGAAGGCGCGAAATACACTTAGCAGGTAAACAGATATACCGCCAAGGGGGTACGGCCGAGGAGGAAGAGAGCGGGTATCGAGGGTTCGGGATATACGTATTGAGAGGCACGCGAGCAGATAAGAGCGATCAGTCTTAAAATGATTGTGGTTGTTGCTGTTGTTGTTGAACATTATTACTTCTAAAGAATAATTATTGTTGGGACCCCTGGTGCGCGACCCCCCTCCAAAACCTAGGCCGCAGCTACATTTTCATCATTTTTTAGCGAAAGCTTCAGAAAAGTGAATTATTACCGGATCCGGTTGTTTTGTTGTACTCCGTTTTCCCTTGCAAAAAACACTATAAAATGAAAATTCTTGTTCTTACTTGATCAAATTGCAAGAATCCCTTGCAAAAAATAAGGTAAAGTGGACATTCGTGCGCGCAAGACGAAATCCTTCCAAAACCTTAGGTTTCGTAACGATTTTAACATAAAAACATCAAAAACCCAATGGTTTTTTAAGAAAAAATTGTCAAAATGTCCTTCCGCGCGCGCTGTCCGAATCCCACAAAACCAATGGTTTTTCAACATTTATGTTACATGAGCTCGCGCGAGCTACTTTTTCTTGTTCTAACATAATCAAATTTCAATAATCCCTTGCAAAAAATAAGGTAAAGTGGACATTCGCGCGCGCAAGACGAAATCCTTCCAGAACCTTAGGTTTCGTAACGATTTCAACATAAAAACATCAAAAACCCAATGGTTTTTCAAAAAAAAATGTCCAAATTTCATCCCGCGCGCGCTGTCCGACTCCCACAAAACCAATGGTTTTTCAACATTTATGTTACATAAGCTCGCGCGAGCTACTTTTTCTTGTTCTTACATAATCAAATTTCAACATCCCTTGCAAAAAAAAGTAAAGTGGACATTCGCGCGCGCAAGACCAACAAAAAACACGACGATCTCAGGAACTTGCCCCAAAAATGTGACCAACTCCGCTCTCTCTGTCTCTCTCTCTGTCTGCTCTCTGTCTCTCTCTCTGTCTGTCTGTGTCATGTATTGTATGTCACAATTGCAGGATGCTGGGCACACGCGCGCCCCGAATAAGTGACCAAGTTCTGTGGGTGTGTACCCCACGCCAGTGTAGTAGCCACGGTCGTCCGCACGCCACGAAGTGAAGTGTCCCAACGTCATAGGGCGGGAAGCTGGGTTTGGGTGGTCGCGAAGAGTCGTTTGGATATTTGGTAGAGCTTGAACTGCCCCCCCACGTAATGTGGGGGTATTGTCTCGCGTCGCATGAAAACCCTGGCACTGGTGAGAACACTGAGCGTTCGGGTAAAATGATTGTTGTTGTTGTTGTTGTTGGAACAGGCGTGCGTGGGAGCCCCGGCCGCCCCCCCCCCCAGCAACCGAGCAACCGAGCAACCCTCTCTGGGGGTCTCCTGGGGGCGCCAAGGATTCCCTAATAGGATTTCCTAAGAATTCTGTAGGTTTCCATGGGGATTCTATAGACCTCCCTAGGAATTCTATAGGTCCCCATCGGAATTCTATAGGCCCCCACAGGAATTCTACAGGCCCCCATGGGAATTCTATAGGCCTCCATTGGAATTCGATGGGCCTCCATAGGAATTCTATAGGTCTCCATAGGAGTTCTATATAAGCTCCCATAGGAATTTAATCGGCTTCCATAGGAATTCTAGAGGCCGCCATAGGAATTCTATAGGCCTCCGCAGCAATTCTATTATATAGCCCCCCCCCCCCCCCCCTATAGGAATTCTATAGGCCCCCATAAGAATTGTATAGGTCTCCATCGGAATCCTATAGGCTTCCATAGGAATTCTATGGGCATCCATAGGAATTCTATATATGCCCTCATAGAAATTCTATTGGCCCCATAGGCACCCATACTCTTTCTGTTGGCGTCCATAGGAATTCTTCTGGCCCCCATAGGCTTCTGTAGGCCGCCATAGGAATTCTATTTAGGCCTCCATCGGAATTCTATAGGCCCCCCATACGAATTCTATATAGGCCTCCATCGGAATTCTATAGGCCTCCATCGGAACTCTATAGGCACCCATTGGAATTCTATAGGCCTCCTTACGAGTTCTATAGGCCCCCATCGGAATTCTATACGCTTCCATAGGGATTCTATAGGCCTCTATCGGAATTCCATAGCCCTCCATACGACTTGTATATCGGCCTCCATCGGAATTCCATACGGCTCCATAGGAATTCGATAGGTCTCTATCTGAATTCTATAGGCCTCCATCGGAATTCTATACGCCCCCATTGGAATTCCGAAATTAGCGCAGCCGCTGGGGCCTTCGGCGGAGCTCCCCGAGGGGGGCCACGATCCTCGTGAGGGGTGTGCCGAAATTGACGCAGCCGCTGGGGCCTTCGGCGGAGCTCACCGATTGGGGGCCACGATCCACGTGAGGGGTGTGCCGAAATGGGCGCAGCCGCTGGGGCCTTCGGCGGAGCTCTCCGAGGGGGGGCCACGATCCACGTGAGGAGTGTGCCGAAATGGGCGCAGCCGCTGGGGCTTTCGGCGGAGCTCCCCGATGGCGGGCCACGATCCACGTGAGGGGTGTGTCGACATGGGCGCAGCCGCTTGAGTTTCCGGCGGAGGTACCCGATTGGGGGCCACGATCCTCGTGAAGGGTGTGCCGAAATGGGCGCAGCCGCTGTGGCCTTCGGCGGGGCTCCCCGGCGGCAGGCCATGACCCTTGTGAGGGGTGTGCCGACATGGGCGCAGCCGCTGGGGTCTTCGGCGGAGCTCCCTGATGGGGGGCACAATCCGCGTGAGTGTTGCGCCGAAGTGGGCGCAGCTGTGGGGCCTTCGGCGGAGCCCCCCGATGGGGGGCCACGATCCTTGTGAGGGGTCTGCCGAAATGGGCGCAGCCGCTGGGGCCTTCGGCGAAGCTCCCCGATGGCGGGCCACGATCCACGTGAGGGGTGTGCCGAAATGGCCGCGGCCGCTGGGGCCTTCGGCGGAGCTCCCCGATGGGGGGCCAAGGTCTGCGTGAAGGGTGTGTCGAAATGGGCGCAGCCGCTGTGGCCCTCGGCGGAGGTACCCGATGGCGGGCCACGATCCACGTGAGGGGTGTGCCGAAATGGCCGGAGCTCACCGATAGGGGGGGGCAATATCCTAGTGAGGGGTGTGCCGAAATGGGTACAGACTGTCTAGGATCCTATACAGTCTGTATCGGATCTGTATAGGATCCTATACAGTCTGTATCGGATCTGTATAGGATCCTCTACAGTCTGTATCGGATCTGTATAGGACCCTCTACAGTCTGTATCGGATCTCTATAGGATCCCATACAATCTGTATCGGATCGGTATAGGATCCTCTACACTGTGTATCGGATCTGTACAAGATCCTATACAGTCTGTTTCGGATCTGTATAGGATCCCATACAGTCTGTATCGGATCTGTATAGGATCCCATACAGTCTGTATCGGATATGTATAGGATCCTCTACAGTCTGTATCGGATCTCTACAGGAACGCATGCAATCTGTGTCGGATATGTGTCGGATATCTACAGGATTCCATACAGTCAGTATCGGAT